CATGGAAATTCGTTTTTAAGATTGACAAACATCATATGTGTAATTCGTGGCACAATTCAAACGGGATCGAAAGATACGTTTTCTCTCTCCATTGACTTCAATACATACTATTTCCGAAATAAGGTCCCATGGAGGTCCACGGAAGGGGAGGGACTTCGCCTCTCTATTTGGATCAGGCTGGAGCAGGCGGGAGTTAGACTCTGACGTCACTGTCGAGACGTGAGTGGCCGACTCCGCCTACTAAGGGCTTCTCTGCAACTCTTCAGAATCCTATGGGTGACGTCACGGACCCTACGTCCATTTATATATACAGTCTATGATATAAACAGACAGGAATAATCACACTGACACGACACAGCTGCAGAGGGCAGGTAAAGACACTGGAGGCTCGTCTCAATTGAATATTTCACCTCCTCCTTTCCCTCACTCGCGTCCCTTCCTTGCGTCTTAGCTCCGCCTCCGTAAGATGCGAGCGAGAGACACGAGGAGGAGACGCAAAAGTTTTATTTACAAGTATTAAAAGTAAGCATAGGACACCAAACCAACTGAGACCTGTCTGTCCGCCGCATCTACGCACTGTACAACACGCACCTACACACTGTACAACACGCACCTACACACTGTACAACACGCACCTACACACTGTACAACACGCACCTACACACTACAACACGCACCTACACACTGTACAACACACACCTACACACTGTACCACACACACCTACACACTGTACAACACACACCTACACACTGTACAACACACACCTACACACTGTACCACACACACCTACACACTGTACAACACACACCTACACACTGTACAACACGCACCTACACACTGTACAACACGCACCTACACACTGTACAACACGCACCTACACACTGTACAACACGCACCTACACACTGTACAACACGCACCTACACACTGTACAACACGCACCTACACACTGTACAACACGCACCTACACGCACCTACACACTGTACAACACGCACCTACACACTGTACAACACGCACCTACACACTGTACAACACGCACCTACACACTGTACAACACGCACCTACACACTGTACAACACGCACCTACACACTGTACAACACACACCTACACACTGTACCACACACACCTACACACTGTACAACACACACCTACACACTGTACAACACACACCTACACACTGTACAACACACACCTACACACTGTACCACACACACCTACACACTGTACAACACACACCTACACACTGTACAACACACACCTACACACTGTACAACACGCACCTACACACTGTACAACACGCACCTACACACTGTACAACACGCACCTACACACTGTACAACACACACCTACACACTGTACAACACGCACCTACACACTGTACAACACGCACCTACACGCACCTACACACTGTACAACACGCACCTACACACTGTACAACACGCACCTACACACTGTACCACACACACACCTACACACTGTACCACACACACCTACACACTGTACAACACACACCTACACACTGTACAACACGCACCTACACACTGTACAACACGCACCTACACACTGTACAACACACACTGTACAACACGCACCTACACACTGTACAACACGCACCTACACGCACCTACACACTGTACAACACGCACCTACACACTGTACAACACGCACCTACACACTGTACCACACACACCTACACACTGTACCACACACACACCTACACACTGTAGGCCTACCACACACACCTACAGCTCCTAAAGCATATCATATCAGGCTACAGCCGTTGTGTATTTTATTATGTGAAGCACTAAATGGTTTTAGAAAAATATGGACTCTTTGTTTGTAGATATCTACTAAACTACAGCATACAAATACAGAGAGTAATGTAGGCCTGTTATACTGAGTGATATATATTATACACACTGCTCTGCTTTCTGCACGGACCTCACAGCTGTTCTCACTGGAAACATCGCATCGCGATGAAAGCAGTTACTAAAATAATATCCAGGGGATGCATGCAGAGCTGTCATTGGCTGAGATAAGTCCGGCCGTGCGTCACGACTCTTTGAAACATCACTGTTGCCAGAAATGCATCCGCGGAGGAGCCGTGGAGGACCCATCAGTGTATCCTCGGTTAGAGCTCCTCCAAAGAGCCTCCACGATGCTCGATGCTCGGTCCTCGATGTGCATTTAGAGAAATGAGATGTCCTTCAACATGGCGCGCTGAAAACCATTTCCAGGTCACTACCGGAGGACCGAGGAGTCGAGGAGGGGAAATTAGAGAAATAAGAAAGGCCCATAGATACAGACAGACAGACAGAGAAAGATGGATGGATGGAGGGATAGATACTTCAGGAATGACAAAATTACTTAAAAATGTAATAAACTTTAAATTAAATAAAGATAAACATTACAAATGTAAAAACAATATATACATATCCTTAGTAAAAAATACCTATATTCAGAGGAGTATCTAAACGTTGTAAAATATACAGAACAAATACTCTCTAATTTACCAATCATCTGAACATATAAACATAGTGTATTACTATACAAATTGTGTACTATACATATATGTGGCTAGAGTTTTAAAAAAGCAAGTCGTCTGGATCCATAATTCATGTTCATCAGGCATGATTCAGATAAACATAGTCTTGTGTTGTACATCATATTTCTGTTCCAGTGAGAGCACAGAGTTATGTTCTGCTGCACTGGGCTATTGTGCCAGGGTTGAGGTTATACTTGTAACTACAAGTGGTCCAAGAAAGTCCCAAGGTCTCTTTAGAGTATCAGTTTTATCTTCATTAACAGAACAGAAGCAGCACACCTTTTGCTGGTCCCAAAACTCTTCATCAGCAAAATGGTATGGTTTGCAGAGACCACTGATGTTGTGTAATGTCTCCTTAAAATCATGCATTTGTTCAGTTCCTATTTTAGCAAACCCTGGCTTTTGTCCTTGGAGAGTTCTATTAGATCAGCACAATTCTTGATAAACTGAGAATCACTTTCGACATCATTATTCCCAGGGAAAGCAGGTTATCCTCCTGTAACCAGAACAAATTACTGCCCTTGCATTTCTTGTCAGCAAAAGTGTCCAAAAAGAACAAAGTCAGCATATGGACTTGTTTGCTCAACATAACTCCATATTGAAAATACCTTTACATCCATCCACACAAATGTTTTTAAGGATCTGCAGGAAATGTAAGCAGCATGGTCTCACCGTTGTTTAGTTTTAAAGATGAGATGTTTTACCAGAAGTTTTTAGATTGGTTTTATTACTATATGCTAGTAAACTAAAGGTATTATTATAATAGGAAAAAACAACTGAAGAAAATGCTACAAATATGGAGTGTGTCCGTCAGTTACGACATTAATGTAATAATGTAAAACAAAAGTAGATCTTGCAATAGACGACCGTAACCAAATGGAATAAAACGTTACATTTGCATTCATGCAGGTTACTGATAATAAAATAGTTATTTCATAGACTAAACAATAAGCAATCTGACGTTGTGTTTTACAGGCTACAATAAAGATGCAATGTGTCACTGCCAGCAGAAGTAGGTGTTTCTCTCTGATAAAGCAGTTAGTGCTGGCTCAGGCTTACCATGTATACATGTCCCATAAATGCGTGTTACTCACTTTGCATCCGGAACCTTATCCCTGTGCTATGTGTGTGTCTTGTGTGTCTGTGTCTCTGTGTGCAGGGGTCAATGCTGTGCTGGGTAATCGTTGTGTCTGGATCATGAATCGTGGCCATGCCTTTTTCCGTGTTCCCTCTACATGCCCACATTATCATTGTTTGCAAATAATATACAACACATCTGTACATAAGATATGGGGTTTTCAAAGCCTAACACTGTAGTCCCCCCCATCCCCACCCTTTAGTTGACTTGCTTAGTTGTGCATTAAGTTGATCAGATGTTACCATAGTGAGTTTCTGTGCCTTGGTCAGGAGGGACAGTAACTGTGACCCACAGACCACACTGAACCTCTGCCTGTAGACACCTCATTGTTACACTTTATGCTTTTTACTGTCCCATAATTCCTTTAGAATGGATATTTGTTTGGAGTATCATCTGATACCTTGATAAAATCATGAAATGCACTCTCTGCCCCAACAATAAATGTAAACATACGGTCAAGGTATATATCTAAGTTTTTTATCCAAATATACTCAACATAAATCTGAGTCACTAACAATCATCAGCTGGATAAATGTCTGAGCAAGACAATGGTCTGATCCTCATTCCCCGTCACTTTTCAGAATAAATCTAAGGGCTTTTTCTATTCTGTCCTATTCTGTTCTTAATTCTGTTCAAAACAACAAAGTTGCAAAGTTTGGAGTTGGTCCGTGCAATCAGAGGCTTGCCATGTCCAAAATGCACTTCTCCAAATAAATGAAGTACTATACAAGCAAAGAGGCTTCTTTCTTTCTGATGTCACTGCCTGTTTATTTGCATCTCAAGTTCACAAACGAAATGGATATTAGATATAATATATAGATGCATGACATGGAGTTAAAAGCAAGGTTCCAGTCAAATGCATTTTAGAACTATTCTAGAAATAGTATATTGTTTTGTTGTCTACTACATCAGGAGAGACCTCCAAGTGTTTATATCACTAGCCCTTTGTAAGCTAAGGGGATAGCCAGAGAGGAGAGGAAGGGGGCCGAGACAGGACTTGTTCCGAACGGTCATATAATGCTCATTAAACATATGAATTGAATTAGTGAAAAACCTGCAACGACAAGTGAGTAAACAATCATAAATGTTGAATCTTCAAAAGTCTGTAGGCGTGTTTTTACCCCCCCACCACAGCCCTGGGGGTTGACAGTCTGTAAACACTCATTTCTAAATTGAATTTGGCATACCCTCAAACACTGTTGAATACCTCGAGGACGACCAACACATATTTTCTGGCATGCTCTCGCACCCATTTGATAATATGGAAATACTGTCTGTCTTTGTTTCTTTCAATGTTTCCTTTTTCTGCTCCACAGTGCTGCAGTATCTGGGCCCAGTAAACAGGAAGACGAGGACTATGAAGACGTGCCCATAAATAAGACATGGGTGTTATCACCGAGGGTCTACGAGAGCGATGTGACTCTGATCCTGAATAAACTGCTGGAGGGCTACGACAACAAACTGCGGCCTGACATCGGAGGCAAGTCAAGTTCATCCTCTGGAAATGTTCTTTGTTTTAACTTTGGAACCAAAAAAACACTAAAGGTTTAAAAATAGCCTCTTGCAGTGGTGGGTACTGCCTTTTTTATTGCCTGGAAACATTTCTGAAATGTGAACAAGCTGCTGCTGTCTGGGGAGAACCTTGTATTCAACCTTGTTCAACTTTGACTATCTACTTTGACTAATCACCTATCCCCACATGCCTTATAGTCTCTATAGGAACAAAACAGTCTGCTGTTTGTTGTATCTCTTTAGGTTGATATGACATACATTAACATTTTGGTCATCAGCTAACAAACATGTGAAGTTTATTCTGTCAATGTAAATGCAGTATGTTTTGTGTTATGTCTCAGTGAGGCCAACAGTGATTGAAACCGCCGTGTATGTCAACAGCATTGGACCGGTGGACCCCATCAACATGGTGAGACTGCTGCAGCTCAATACTCTTTCAAAGCATAATAATAAATGGATATATATCCTTTATAATGCTGCCTTCTCTATGGCCTTTCTATGGAGAGTGCAGTGCCGTCTGACTACGTAGAAGCGCTTCCCTCATTGTTGCGTATTCTCAAAATTGTCGCCAAGCACAAATTTGAACTAAAAAGTTCAAATTATTAAAACGTTGTCCAAAGCCGCGTTCACACCAAGTACTTTGCCGTACTTAGTTCCCAGCTCTTAGTTCCCCTATGGAACTAAAGAGCCGATCGCTTTCACACCGGAATAAGTTCCCTGAGGGAAGATTACGCAAATGAGCCGCTGACGTCACTTCTTCTTCTTCTGCTTTGGGTTTACTGGCAGGCCGCAAACAACTTCACGGCGTATACTGCCACCCGGAGTCCCCGGCCGGAAGTCCCCGGAGTTGGGGACTGGCTTCAGTAGAAGCTGCTGGGACTCCCAGCAGCTTCTACTGAAGCCTTCCGAGTAAATCGCCAGAACGCCGACACCTCCTCATCTCCACCGCTCCCATGTTTTATTTTGTGTTGCCATAAGTTAGTCTCTCTGCGTTTGTGCGCTGGGCGAATGCTAATGCTAATAATGTTAGTGCGAGGATAATAAAATGGCGGCTCTACAAAACATTTCAGAGTTTTACGGGGCGTGGTTTGCAATTCGCCCAGCCAATCAGAACTGGGGCACTTTTTTCCCCCCAGGAAAGTACCATCTCTCAGCAGGCACTAAAAATGGGGGTAAAAGTTCCCGAGATTAAGTGCTCTTTTTGGTGTGAACGCGACATAAGGGGTACTAACGGAACTAAACGGGAAAAGTACGGGGAAAAGTACTCCGGTGTGAACGCGCGTCTAGTTTACCGCTGAACTTCTTTATTCGCAACCTATAAGATGACAGTTTTATGAGGCAGCGCAAGCTAGCAGGGGACCTTCCCATAGAAACAAAACTTAACTAGCTGCTCTGCGCCAAACCTCGCAGTGAGCAGAAACATTGCGCACCTTAATGTTTAAAACAATGAGTGGCACTGAACCAGCTCTCCATTAAAAGCATCCTATTCTCAACCTGGTATTACCTCGTTAAGCTAATTATCCAATAACTATTTAAGCCGGTGGTGAGAAGATACACTTAGCTTCTCACTGCTAACATTCCTACCCTGCTTGCTCTGGCATAGCACCAGACTGTATAATTCTATCGCCCCATGCTGCTACCAGTCATGTCCGTTAACAGCAGCTCTCTTGTTCCCTGTGCACTGGGTACGGGTGCTCGGAAAGGTTGTGGGTACTTGAACAATAAATCCTAATGGTCTGTTTATTTATTGGCTAGAGAAACCAATAGGAACCTTAAAATATGTTGTACACACAATTAGGGATGGGTACCGAGCCCCGGTATTAAACGGGCCCCGGGGCTGAATTATTAAAGACCGTGATACCGTTAAGCTCCGACGTTATCGGTCTTTTTATCGGTACTGGAGACATTTAAAAAATATGTCATGTGTATTATTGCTACACAAACATTATATTGCAGTTTTAGTGTCGCCAACTCCGTTTCTAATACGCAAAAAGACTGCAAAATGCGTCATTTTTAGTATTTTCGATCTCTCCAATCCAGGCGAGAGATCTCTCTCCCCCGCCTGTGTGCGAGGGGGCGGGGCAGTTTACACACACGCAGCTGCTACATGCAGCAACACACACACACGGAGGAGATGGCGGAGAGAACTAAGCGCTCCGAGGTGTGGTTAAACTTTACCCGTCTCGCTCGTTACCTAAAGTGCAATAAGAGTTTAGCATGTCAGGGCGGTAACACGAGCAATTTGTCTAAACATTTAACAAAAGTGCTCCACATTCAGACGGAGAAATCTGTTCGACTGTCTTTCTAGTAGCTCTGTAGCCCCGTCCACGAGTAACGTTTCCACGTCAGGTATATTATGTATGCTAGCAGCTACACACGGAGCTAACTCAATGATACAAACATGGGTTAATGAGTAGAGGTAACTGAGTTATTTAGTTTGTTAAAGTTTCAGCTATTCTGTTTACAGTTCTGTCTTCAGATTATGTAATATGATTTGTTAAAACGTTGTTGTTTCTTTTGATGTGAAATATTATGTATTTAATTTAAATAAAAAGCAATGTTAGTTTTGTTCACAATTTGTTTATTTTCATTTTTCATTTAATCGTTTATTTGAATAGGGACAATGCACATTAATGAACACTTTGACAAATAATGCTTCAAGTGTAAATATGCCGGATTTTAGCTTTGAGCTAATTTCCATCCGTAGTCCCTGACATACAGTTAGTGTATTAACTAACTATAGTTAGTTTACCCTCATTTTTTTCTCCAAAAGAACCGATAAAAGTACCGTTAAAAGACCGGACCGATAAGCGGTATCGATAAAAGTAGTAGTACCGTTAAAACCTTAACGATACCCATCCCTACACACAATCCCTTTAACACAGGGGTGGGGAACCTTTTTCCTCTCAAGGGCCATTTCAATTTTTACAACATCCTCCGATGGCCGTACAAATGATTGACCTCAACCTCTGCTTAAAAATACTAAAATCACAGCCCATTCATTTCGCCTTTCTTTCATGCTGTGCAAAGAAAAAGCAACCTCTTGATCCAGATATCTTACCATGACTCGTGTATGCATGCACGTGCACGGTGTGGTATGACCACCAAAACAGAAAGATATGGACACAAGATGTGTGCACATTTATTTAGTTTCATATCCATGTTTTAAGTGTGGGGTGGACCTAACCTCCGCTAGGGGGGTCCGGGGGGCATACTCCCCCGGGAAGATTTTTTTTAAATGTTGAAGTTAAAAGCATCAATCTGGTGCACTTTGAGAGCAACATTAGGAGATCTATGGATACATCTCTCAACACCCATATGAAACAGAACTGGAAGCAGATTTTCTTTTTCTTTATGGATATTTTACAAATCACTCCCCTTTTAAACTGTATTCTTGTTTATTAATAACAACTTTTTTTTATGTTATATAGTATTTTATACCTGTTTACTCTATTCTCTTGTTTTTTTATAACTATAATGATCATATAAAGATGTGCTTTTACCTCACTGGTTGTAGAAGCTTCTTATATTCGTTAGCATAGCTAGCTAACCAGATGCTAATAACAACAAAGTTATTGACTGTCTGATCAGTATGACAGATGAGCAGATCTCCACTGGGCTTTCAACTAAAGACACAGCCACGCAAAAACTGCGGCATGTGTATGGCTCCTTATGGGTACTGACATTTGTGAAGGCCCGGAGCGGCGTTCTGGTGCTCTCCGTCAGAACTGCACCCCTGTCAGACGAGACATATACCACGTGATGACACGTTAGGCTCGTGTTGTGTTCAAGGACCCTGACCTTGGCCAGGAAAAACAGGCACTCGCTTGTTTAATTCTTTTGCGGTCTAGATTTCTTAAATTTTGTTCTTTTTTGCATGTGTTTATAAATTACCTCGAGGGCCGTACCAAATGGTCTCGTGGTCCGTATACGGCCCGGAGGCCGGAGGTTCCCCACCCCTGCTTTAACATTACATCCTTAAAGAAGTAAAACAACAGCTACAATGTTATGTAATTCACACAGTGTCAGGAAGTCATCAGGATTCATTCTCTGCCATTGGTTTAAGTACAGACAATAATGGTACCAAAACCATCTAATGAGTGCAAAAGTTCCTTCTTTCCAATTACCATAAGACAAGAGCACATATATTTGTCTCATATACAGAGATATTTTATAATGTTGACCTGATGATAGCGCTACATGAAAAGTCGGGATAAATAAAGTGAATACAATTCCTCCTGAGGAAAACACATGTGTTTGAACCAAATTCCATATAAATCCATAAAATCCAATAATTGTTCTTTGGCTCTGAGAAATCTAAGATAAACGTTGAGATATCTTCCATTGTTTTTTGTTTAATTGGCTTTTTGCCCATGTTTTATCCAACTTTGTTGCAGGAGTACACCATTGACATCTTCTTCGCCCAGACATGGTACGACAGCCGACTGAAGTTCAACAGCTCGATGAAGCTGCTCATGCTCAACAGTAACATGGTAGGCAAAATCTGGATTCCTGACACGTTCTTCAGGAATTCTCGCAAATCGGACGCCCACTGGATCACCACTCCCAACCGCCTCCTGAGGCTGTGGAGCAACGGCAGAGTCATGTACACACTGAGGTAGGACCAGAGGGCAACCAATCAGCCAACATTTTAAGTAGCCATTTTAAATGTTATCAACTATTTAAAAATATGTGTTGTTTGTGCAGCTTTAGTGTTTGCATCTGTATCTGTATCACATACTTTCTGTCTTGATTTCTTTAGGTTTAATGATCTTTGAGTACTATGTTGAGTTACATTTGGGAGGGAAAAACCAACGCTGAGATTTGCTTTTTCTCTGTCACAATTCTGTTTTTGTCAGGTTGACTATTAATGCGGAGTGTTACCTTAAGCTGCATAACTTTCCAATGGATGAACACTCGTGTCCACTGGAGTTTTCAAGCTGTAGGTTGTCAAACGTTTCCCCCTTCCCATTCTCGAACCTGCCATCTCGACTTCAACTTTCTAAAAAATGGCCAGAGAGAGGAGCTTCTGTGTGGGCTAGGCCATTGTTCCTTCTCCTTGCCTAAATGCCCATCTGCTTGAGGCTGCCCTCTTTAAGCCTGTACCAATCTATCATCTGCTCCACCGGTCGAGAGAGGAGGTCACCCAACCCCATTTTCCCTGACAGACTTAATGAATTATGCACCTTCTCCCAGTCTGATTCATGCTGTCTGTGTCATCCTTCATTTTTCTCTCGCATTGTGCTTTAGCTTCTCCCGTCTTGTCATGATCTTTATATTCCACTGGAAAAATGCAAAGACCATTCCATAGAGTCAAGAACAAACGCCAGGACCAGTACAGTCGCACTAAATGTCATCAAATGAGCTCAAACCAGGGTTAATTTCCTCAACTAAGACTTCTTATCAACTCAAGACATCTCATCAAAATAAATGTGTTAGTGTTCCTAAAAACACATATTTTTCTTATTAGCAAGCATCCTCTTGTACTATTCTCTACCTAGCAGGTAGACTGATATTGTTTACCAATGCAACATCTTTAAAAGAGGAAGATATGATCAGAAGTCAAAGCTTGTGACCTTTTTTTTAACATTAAAGCATGTCACAGTAGAGGCATAACATATACTGTAAATATGAACCTGAAAATTAGCACAATAGGGCCCCTTTAACCATAAAGGCGGCATATCAAAAAGCATTCTATTTTGAAACCTTGCAAACATAATACATTTTTATGTAAAATAGTGAAATTCAGAAACACTCAATTTAAAGTGTGAAGAATTAAATCAAAAATACAAAAAATGTGTGCATGTCCAAAGACAAATGTTGTATCGCCTTAATGTACGAATCAGGTAAAACAATGACTTATAGACTGCAGATGTGAGCGAGTGCTTACTCCCAGGAATTACACGGCCTTCTATTAACTACTAAAGTACTGTAATGCACAGAATGTTCTGAATATGAAGAACTCTTGCTCATTTGAAAAAGTTTCATGAGACTGGGCAGGTCAGTTCCATCGTGAATGTTCCATTTGCTTTGCCATGGTGCAATGTTCCCTTGTGACATACGGTATATTGAAGGACAGAAAGGCATCAGGGAGGCTTCTTATTCATTAATGATGTGTCTGTGTTGTGGGGTTGGGTTCTGTAGATGGTTATCCTAAGAATGAGATCATGTACCGGTGGCAGAGACGGGCAGTGGAGGTGGCAGATCAGCGCTACTGGAGACTCTACCAGTTCGCCTTTGTAGGGTTGAGGAACACTTCAGATGTGGCACACACCCAGTCAGGTGAGAGTTTATTGGCCATGTCCTATTACATGCTGCCAGTCCCAATTTGATATGTAGTACTGATAGCATAATAATTCAGATTTTGGATTGGACCGTTACCTGCAATGGGTAACATTAAAACCAATCTCTTCACTCATGCCCTTGACTTATCGTATTTATCTCTTCACCCACCTTATTGTTTAACTTTCAGGTGAATATGTAATCTTGACAATCTTTTTTGACCTGAGTCGGAGAATGGGCTACTTCACCATCCAGACCTACATCCCCTGCAGTATGATCGTGGTCTTGTCCTGGGTCTCCTTCTGGATCAACAAAGATGCCGTCCCAGCCCGCACATCTCTAGGTTTGACATTTTCCTATTTCATATTCATACACTGTTAAACAGAGTCAGAATGGCATGTGCCTTTTTCTGGAATGACGGTTGGTTGGTTGGTTGGTTGGTTGGTTGGACCGTCAATCAAACCTGATCAAACCACACTCACAGTCCTGTTGAAGCAGGGCAGCTGTTTTTTAAAAATTGTTGACAGTTTCAACACCTCCTTTTGAAAAGATTCAGATTAGTCAGACTAGATGTTAAAACATTTAAGTAATTTATTTTCATCTCATACATCTCAACACCCAAAGGTTGCCAAATGTAGGGGAGGACTGACAACATGCCAAACGGTGTAACTCTTTAAATGTTGCGACCGCAAAGACTTGTGGGATGGCATTATCTCAATGCATTCTGTAAAGGATGGGCTGTGTATCCTAGGCTAAAGGAGATAACAAGGGAAGCATTGAAGCTCCTTTTCTTATCATCAAGAATATTTGAACAGTTCTTATCATGGCTGCCACTTCGGAATTCCTTTGTCATTTCTATCCGTAAGGAACCTTTCCCTAAGCAAAAAACGATTCGACCGCAGCCCTGGTCAGAAAACTGGGCAGGGAAAAAAGAGGAAAAGCAGGAGGTGAAGAAACACACATGCACTTTAGGGGCTGGCAAGTAACATGAGTAATAACACCTGATTGTTGTAAGTGTAATGTAAGTTTATTCAATGATACCCAGGAAGAGGTAATGGTTTGAGGCTTTAAGAAGACTCTTGATGTGGAATTCCTCACATTGTAATTTCAATATGTATGCTGTTACATACATATTCTAACAAATTCTTCATGAGAAAGTATTTGATATTCCACCTTAACAATCCATTTAGGTATTACTACAGTGCTGACGATGACTACTCTAAGCACCATCTCCAGGAAGTCCCTGCCTAAGGTGTCCTATGTCACTGCCATGGATCTGTTCGTCTCCGTTTGCTTCATCTTCACCTTCGCTGCCCTCATGGAGTACGGCACTCTGCACTACTTCACCAGCAACAGACCGACCAAGAAGTCCAAAGCCAAAAAAAACACACAGGTACCCAGCACTCATTCCTTTCTTCTTCTTTCTTTTGAACCAAATGAGTCTAATGGTAACATACTGAAATATGTCTTTGTTTCCCTCCACAGCAGAAAGCATCCAGCATGATGAATCTCCGCCCCGGCACGTCCCTGCTGCAGATGAACAACATCGTGCCCTATCACGAGGAGGACGACTATGCTTATGAGTGTTTGGATGGAAAAGACTGCACCAGCTTCTTCTGCTGCTTCGATGACTGCCGCTCAGGTGCCTGGCGTGAAAACAGGATGCATGTGCACGTTTCCAAGATTGATTCATACTCGCGAATATTCTTTCCCACTGCTTTTGGCCTTTTCAATCTGGTTTACTGGATTGGATATCTGTATCTATAAAACCAGAACATCTAAAAAAGACGACTGGAGTTTAACATCTGCAAGCATTTCAAAGCATAGCTGCTATTGTAGCATTAGGAATATTAGCTTTGTTGGCAAACAAGAAAACTCAATTGCAAACTAATTATGAATGAACTCTGTCCCTACAGCCTAAGAACAATATGGATATTTCCTATCCCTACTGAATAAGGCATTAATGATTATTGCGACTCATTGACCTTTTCGTCTGGCACAATGAAGATTCCTCTTTACATGCATTTTAAAAAGCTAAAGGATTCATTTCCATTAATTTTTTTCTGGATTTTCTCATTGGCAGGGGATTGATTCCATTTGATATGAGCCTTAACCGTGAAATGGAAATGACATACTTGAAGATCTTTCCTTATGGAATTGCCTCACTCCCAATCCAAAGGGGACACGACTTTCCTTGTTGGTCGGCATAGCAGATGATGTAGATTAAGTCTGCCATTTGCGCTAGTGTTTTGTAATTGAACTATTAGGTAAGAGCCCTGATTATATAATTCCTCTAACATTGGGATCTTAACATTAAGGTAAACCTAACAACTCAATAAAGCCAAATGAAATGTTTCCTTTGTCAGCTAAGTTATTCATGTTAATAGCTAAATCCCCTCCTTCTAGATCTAAGGCTTACCACACTCTTAGTGCGTGTGTCTGCATAGCATTCACTTCTGGCTCATTGTATGATAGACACGCATCGCCCCTTTGCTTTTTATGATCTGTTTTTGCAATGCTTTGGAGAACTGGATACGTCATTAGGGAAATGTGATCAGTGTAGCATTGAGCCAAAATGGCCTGCCTATCGAGAACAAAAACACCTGGATCACCCTGGGTCTTGGAACCATAGAGCATGCACACTTGCCATTTTGATCTTGTCCTTATAGTATGGATGATTGGACTAACGCTCTCTCTCTATCGAGAACAATTGAGAAAATGCACCTTTTATCTCCTGTCATTCTTATTTCATCAGCAAAGGGCAACATAGCAAAGACATGAAGGAAAATGTAGGCCTGAATCTGAAACCCCAAACTTGCAAATGTTGGAATTAAAACCTCCTCAGATTTAAATAGGACAATCATTTGAAAGGCTTAAGAATAAGCTAATTGGTTTACATTCTGTGAAACCCTAACCCTACCCACAGCAGCTTTGAATGCAGAAATGTTTGCACGAGTTAGACTCCAGTCTAAACAGAGGAGATATTGCCATCAAACCTAAAAAAAAATTACACAAATGTGTGTTTACTCTTTGCCGCTGTGCTATTGATATTGTTGAGAAGCAGGATAGATAAGCTCTTATGATTCTTTATTGATTTGCAGGAATATGGGGTACTATTGGTCACTTCAACACAAGAAGGGAACATACCTTTAATGTTCATAGGGTTCTATTTTTCTAGGCGACACCTCACAGCGTTCTGATTGGTGGGGTCCTACATGGAACGCATTTATAAAGTTATTCAAACAGAATTCATGAACAATGATGGATGTTTTTCAAAGAGCCAGACTTTATACTCTGATATATCATATGTTATAAGACTGAACGTTTTTCAGACAGGTCAGGAAAATGGTCATATACTCTTTAATTCAGTAGTCATGTCCTATTTCGAGATTGATTCAGAAAATTGATTTGGTTTCTGAAAAGGTTTGAGAAAAGAATGTCCTTTACTAATTATAAATGACTTGAATTTCCTTTTATACAGTTCTGTTGCATGTAAAAGACTCACTGTGTGGACAGATATAGTTGCAAACCACCTGAAACACAAAATGAACATAAACTGACATATCTCCAGCAACATCCTCTCAGAATGACTCTACATCTAATATAGTGTGGGCAGCCAATACCATAAGAGAAGAATTTACTATTATAGACTTCAAACTGATTTCTTTCCCTCCATTTCTTTCTTTTTGGGTTCTGTCTGTACAGAAACAACTTACATATTTGATCCAATCCCAGTTTACTATAGATGGACATCATCAGGTTGAATCATTTTTCAGATTCTAGTCAGTTTGGATCAATTCAAAGATTAAGATGTACCTTTAAATCACACCACAAAGAGATTGCATGAACATTCATAACAGCGCTGTCTCTGACACGTTTTTTTTATTCAGATGCAAGTTAAGACTGTTGCTGGATCCAACTGTTCCTTCACTTCAGCACAAATCAAAGCAACCAAAGTAACCACCTTTCTGTTCCAACTCTCATGATTGTTCCTGCGGCTAACTTGCATTAAGCTAACCAGGAAGTAAGACTTCTGACAAAGCAGAGCGTACAATGGCATTTTCACTTGATAGCGATGGGAAAACAGCCTATCTGTACAGTGATACAAATCTCAAGCACTCAATCCATAAGTTATGATTAAATGAGCAGCACCAGCAGTTCTTAACAAGACGCTAAGAGTGTGTTTGTTAATAGTCACAAACCAAACAGTTTGTGAACAGGGAGCACCGTTCCAATGTTCGGATATTCAGAATGGCTCACCCCTCAAAGCTGCAGAGCGTACAGAAAAGTTACTTTTAAGCCAAACTAATCAATAAAACATTGTGCTAGCTAACTAGCTAATTTTCTCTTTAAATTCTCTAAACGTTAGCTGCAGCCTACACTTTCTTATTTATTTCATAGGCACATGTTTCATCATCATCATCCTCACTGATACGTAAAGAGGCAACACATTTGTTAATGTCAAAAGGAAAATGTATTTGTGTAGAAATAGAATGCTTGGTTTCTTTGAACAGTAACATTATCACTTCAGATCGGATAAACAAACAGAACCTAAGAGCAAGTCTCCCTGACGGCCATCTCTACATGCTCTGGGACAAACAGTAAGGAAGGTTTGTTCAGGGGGCAAGTGAGGTAGTGTCAGCTGCTGCAGGACATACAATAATAACCCAAAACATCATCATTATTTTCTCTGCAGCTCAGTACAGAAAGTACAAGAGTCTTTGCAAAGTAAAAGATTTCGTAAGCTGACAGTGTTTTATGGAATACGCAAGATTGTCAGTATTTAAAATTATTGCCATTATTGGAGAATATATACCATAACATACATTTTAAAGTACAGAATTACATTTAATGGAAATGTATAAAAAGATCCAGGTTCCAGCCCGAAAACAACTACTCTTTTTAGATCTTCTGTAACTATACTGTACATCCATACATCCTAATTCCTTTACACTCTGACCCAGGTGAGTATTACTTCAGGTATCTTTCTCATGCTCTAAAATGTAGGAATGGAAATGTGAGACATGCAGATACATGGAGAGGAACATGACACACCAACATCAGCCCTTAACAAAACCACAGACAAGAGGTTTTTGAACTTTTTCACAAACACCAAAGAACTGTCGTAAACAGTGACATGTCCTGTCCAGTTCTAATTGCTGCACATATGTAAAACATCAAGTAGTCTTTTCGCATAAAACAGCATTTCTGCATTGTTGAGATTCCATATATATTTATAAAATGTTCACTATAGTTATTAATTAACTGACATTTCAGTAAAAAGTAAAAAGTCATGTCTGAGGTTTATTCAACCATGCAAAACTAACAAGGAATGTACTGATAGCTACATTCATCTATGCAAACATGAACTGTGTTGCAGTTGTTTTCTTACGGTGTGATAACTCCTTTTTGATTATTCATAGGATAATTAATAAGAACACCTAATTCATGTATTAGAAACATTTGACACAAAAAATATCTGTATTTTGTTTTTCTACTCAGCTCAAGTACTAACTTCACTTCCAATACAACTAACCCAGTTTTAATACACGGCATACCAAAACAATGTTGTGTTCTTCAGATGTCCCTCCTCAATATTGGTACACCTTGCAACCAGGGTGCAACTAAATTAGTACAAATTCCAGAACACAAATGCAAACATATTTGGTTATAATAGAGTTAAACATGTTGTCCTTACTGTTGGTGCGTTCACACCGGACGAAAAGCCAATGTTTTGCGCGTCAATGCAAAGAAACAGATGTTGCTGTCTGCACTGGCGCACTGACGTTGTTGAATTAGAAAACAAAACATCAGCCTTTGGCTTTTGGCTGTTTGAATGACTTGAGTAAACACAACTGAGTGCCATGGTGAAACTCGTGCGAGCAGCGCGATGCAAAGCTTCGCATCACGTCCACCTTTAGGGTTAGGGTTATGTGCATAAAGCATTTCCACAGCACAATACTTCCAGCATTTATCAATCTGCTGCTCTCAGTTTCTTCTTTCAACAAATACTGCCCTCATCAACTAATTAAATGCAGGTAGTTGTTGTACTTTGTAATTCCTGCAAGTTTTTTCAAATCAAAGCCTTCCAGTAGCTTAAAGGGTATACTGCATACCCCTTTAAATAGCCGTTTGGTGTGAAGCACTCAAAGTATGTGTTTGGTTTCGATATTAGTTTAACAATGAAAAAAATAAAATAGCAATCGGAATTTGTTAGAAAAAGATCACTCGTCACCGGCTTGGTCTTCAATATCAGGATACATGTATTTATTATCCTTGCAAGAATGGAAGTAATCATCACCCCCAGGGCTGCGTGGGACAAATAGTTCCCAGAATAGTGTCCTTCACATGCTTATATACAAGAGAGTGTTACACAGTCACAAGTTGCAGAATACCGGTTCAAAGCAGTATTCTGGCCTTAGTTCAGATTAGCTAAGGCCCACGTAAGCAATAAACATGACAGTCATATGTCTATCTCCATAGAGGCTGAATCATCATGTTCATCACATAGCTATCATATGCCTAAAACAGTCCTGATGCTCTTCTAGGTAATCATACATCCTGTTACGTACACAGCTACGTAGGGCCTTTGTTAGCATGTGCTACTCTCATATTAGAAGAGCACATTCAGTATTTTCCCAACAGAATTGGACGGGAGTTGACACAGCATTTATTTCTCATTGGATTGTATTATGCATATCGTCCTGACCCAATCAGAATAATAAAATAATTTGTCCCATAATATTCACGAAACAAAAAAGAAGAGA